ATGGCTAAAGCTATAGTCTTCTTTGCTTTTGGCATGTCGCAGGTGTACCAGCAATCGATCGCCGCAGTGTGTAATTTGGATTGGCCGAGATCCAACATCCTAGTTCAGGTGTTGGACGATTCCGACGATGCCACGACGCAGGCATTGATCAAGGAGGAAGTTGAGAAATGGCAGCAGAATGGCGCCCACATTTTGTACCGGCACCGGGTGATCCGACAAGGTTACAAGGCTGGAAATCTCAAGTCGGCCATGAATTGCAGCTACGTGAAGGATTATGAGTTCGTGGCCATCTTTGATGCCGATTTCCAGCCAGCCCCGGACTTCTTGAAGCGGACCATTCCTCATTTCAAGGTCGGCTTCAAGAACCAATCTGAACAACATCCTTAAGCGTGCATAATGCTGAAGTATATGTAACTCATGGCTTTTGCCTGTTGGGACTTGCAGAACAACGAGGAGCTTGGTTTGGTGCAGGCGAGATGGTCTTTTGTAAACAAGGATGAGAACTTGCTGACCCGGCTGCAGAACATAAATCTGTGCTTCCACTTTGAGGTGGAGCAGCAGGTGAATGGAGTATTCCTCAACTTCTTCGGGTTTAATGGGACGGCTGGAGTTTGGAGGATCAAAGCACTGGAGGATGCAGGAGGGTGGCTGGAGAGAACGACGGTGGAGGATATGGACATTGCTGTCAGAGCTCATTTACAAGGATGGAAGTTCATCTACCTCAATGATGTGGAGGTACTGTATCTTTAGGATTTCTCAACACTGAAGAAGAATTCAGGACCGAATCAAGTCTATGAATGCTTACTTATTCTGAATCTTCTACTTGCAGTGCCAATGTGAACTGCCGGAGTCATACGAGGCTTACAGGAAGCAGCAACATCGATGGCATTCTGGCCCGATGCAGTTATTTAGACTCTGCTTGCCAGACATTATACGATCCAAGGTATAATTCACTGAGTTCACTATTTCAAGTACACTACGATATGAAGCAACATTTTTAATGCCTTCTTTACTAAATATAACCTTCTTAGTTGAAGTTCTCCCAAAAAGAGATGAAAGTATCCGAATTTCTGTGTCATTGATACACATCAAAATCACAGAAAAGACATGCCCGACAAAGCAAAACCATAAAATTGTGTGGCTTTAAATTGGCTATGTTTCCAATTAAGAAGTTGTTCGATTCCTGCCATCTTGAGAAGCAAACTATGCTCAATTCAATAGATATACTCATGCCTTTTATGTCACATTGAGATAGTATTTTCACAGGAATAGATCAAATTGAACTTGGGTATTGGGATTAATATTTGAATCCTGTATCTTGAAGAATTTGAAATGATATCAGAAGAATGTAACTCTTTTTTGTTTCCCTTTTTTCAGTACGTTAGCGTACTATACATCTGATACTATCCTTGTCTCCTGTGAGTTTTTATTCATATTGCCATGTTTCTTTGGTTCAACATATCCCGAACTTGGGTATGGAGGTTGACCTTGCATTGCTGTAACCATTTTGTAGAGGATATATTTCTGCAGTCTGATAGTTTCAATGCTTTGATTTTGTTCCCTTGTTTTAGTTGTTCTTTCTTGATGATTCAAGTCAACCATTGTTACCAATTTTCGTCGGTCTATGTATTACTGAATTCTGAACCCTGAAACAACCAATTTTGTTGAAATTTCAATCTTTTTTTGGGTTCATACTGAATGTTTTTTCTCCCTGAAATGATCTGTTAAGGAAATTCCTTATGCCGACAACCTATTTAATCTATGTTGCAGATTGGATTCTGGAAGAAGTCAAACTTGATATTTCTGTTCTTCCTCCTGCGGAAACTAATATTGCCTTTCTACTCCTTCACCTTGTTCTGCATCATCCTTCCCATGACAATGTTTGTCCCAGAAGCAGAGCTCCCCGCATGGATAGTCTGCTACATCCCCGCCACCATGTCCTTCCTCAACATCCTGCCTGCACCAAGATCCTTCCCTTTCATTGTCCCATATCTCCTCTTTGAGAACACCATGTCCGTGACCAAGTTCAATGCCATGATCTCGGGCCTGTTCCAGCTCGGAAGCGCCTACGAATGGGTCGTCACCAAGAAATCAGGCCGGTCCTCCGAGGGTGATCTATATTCTTTAGTCGAGAAAGAGCCTCAGCAGCAAAGAGGGGCCTCGGCACCAGACCTTGAAGCTGTTGCGGAACTAGAGCCCCAGCCTAAGAAGAAGTCGAAGAAGAAGCACAACAGGATCTATCGGAAGGAGCTTGCACTTGCATTCCTTCTGTTGACAGCTTCGGCACGGAGCTTGCTGTCGGCCCAGGGCATACATTTCTACTTCCTCCTCTTCCAGGGCATCTCATTCCTCTTGGTGGGTCTCGACCTGATCGGCGAGCAGATTGAGTAAAAGAATCAGAGTAATCCACAGTGATGTTCATCATGAGGGCTGAGCAGTGGTATCACATAATGTTAGTAAAGGATTTGATGTAAAATTTACTCACTGTGGAGGTGTAGATAGTCCCACTTGTAGCCTGTAAGATTTCATTCTTTCAGGTCTTATTCTTTTGTAAGATTTTTTCTTTTTTGGTTCAAATTAAATTCCACTTACAGTTCAACATGCTTGAATGCTTTTATTACCTAAGAGAATTTATATTCTTGTTCTATTATAGATTCAATGGTAGAGATATTGCTACAAAATGTATTTCTTATAGTAATGTCAGTGAAGTCAATTAACATACTTGAGTCAACAGAACAAGAGGTTTTGAAGAGGCTTATGGTATGAAAGAGCATAGGGAAATTGGAATATCAGTATGCCATCAAGATGAATCCAACTTAACTTATCATGCAAAAAAAAAAAAAAAAAAACAATTCTGAGGCAACAAAATAAATAATCATACAAAGGAAAAATGTGTCTGGCCAAGACACTGATCTATCTAAGCTTTGAGCATCATCAATGAACAAGAGAATGGCTGTTCTTTATCCCCCAACTTTTCTTATGTCTATGTTCATCATAACCACAACACAAACTATGATTATTTTGGTCAACTTGAAACAGCAACTGAAAAAAAGTGAAAAGAAAGCAAATATCAATGAATGTTAAGACCTTCATTCCATGATCTTTCAGTGCAATTTGATGGATACAAAATGCTTCTAATAGAACAAATCAAGTATTTGCCCACCTCCTAAAACAACAAAGAACCACATGAATCTGTCAATGGCAATGAACCAAGGGATCAAGTTATCAACAGTGACATGGTTGTGATGCTTTAGATGATCAAGTTCAAAGAGTGAACAATGAGCACAAAATAGTGTGCAATGGATTCTACATATTGTCAAAGTCAAATAGGTCTTAAAATTGAGATGCTATTGTGATGTTACGATCTATTTTGATGAGATAATTAATCGAAATCCAAATTATACTTACGACTTGACATTCTTATCGAACTTTGATTAATTTAATTTATTTTTAAATTTTATTATGAAATTAAAGCAGATATATACATAATAAAATTTCTATCTGGAAATCTAAATCAATTTCCATTGTTCTTGCTGCCAACCCAACTGAATCCAATAGCCCAAGCCATGGAAACCTTGGAGGCACAAAACCCTAATAAGAAACCTATGTGGCAATGCCAAATTAAATTAAATTTAATGTGAGGAAAAATTATATATATTTTCTCTATCCACATGATCACAAAAAGAAAAACCTTAAATTTAAAGTATGCGTGACCTCAGGAGGACGGAAGCTAATTAGACAAAATGTCATATTCATCGGACACTGTCATTGTCATCATCGTCATGGTGGGAGAAGAGTTAATGAAGCACAACGCATGGGATTCAATGCCAACACTGCATTCGCACGGTGCCGAGCATTGCAGCGTGGGGTTGGTCGTTCAGATCATATCGAATTCACAATAAATTGGATCAAAATTAATTTACCAATGATTTAATTTTAAAAATTATAAATAAATTTGATTGAAGGTATTATTTTTTATTTAATTAATCAATTTAAATTGAATTAATTTTAATTCAAAAGATATCAATCGATTCAGGTTGATTAATCAAATCAACATAAATATCTAATTTTATTAATAATATAAGTTTAATTTCATAAATATTATTGTGTCATTTAATCGGATCATTTAATTAAATTGATTTATTTAAATATATATATATATATATATTTAAAAATTTAAAATTATAATCTAGTTAATAAATATAATTAATTGATTTTGAGTCGATTAGATAATCCGAATTGATTCCGGTTTAAATAAACAAAATAGTTTGAGTTGATTCAGCCCTTAATGATTTGATTCGAATTGATTTGAACTTATAAATCTCATCACTCACAAAAATAAAAGATTGATTTTGGCATCCTATCAAGATCAATACTTGGGAATTAGGTTCACATATGGTTCGATCGAACACGGGCCAATCAAATCAAGATGGGGCCAATGATCACGTGAAGTAAGCAGCCAACCACATGAGACGTTGTTCCTGATAATTAAGTCACTTGATGTCCTACTATGTACCCAAAATAGACGGCTGTGATTGCTACCGATCTCAAGACTGTGTATGACACAAGCATCCCGATTTAATGATTTGGACCCATTATCTTCTTGGTTGAATCCAATTAATTTTGGTCGGTGATGAAGTTATGATCCAAATTATGAAATCTTTTATTAAGATATTATAGTGACATGATGTTATTTTTTATTATTGTCATTACTATGTGTATATATAATGATGAGATGATAAATGTTGGAGTGATGAAAACAAATGTAGAATGATATATTGTAAATATCGTAATGCTGGATTTGTACTCTTTGTATAAGCATTGATGAATGTAATCTCGTCTACGGCTGAAACAATCCAACACAGCCGCCAAAAAGCACCAACTTCAGATTGCAATCACAATGAAAGAATTCTATAATCATATAATTTATTGCTCTGAAAAAGAAAAAAAAAACATATATTAAAAGAATCTCACCATACTATTTAAACACCCTCAGCCCATCCATTCCTCACCAATTCTCCCAGTCTCTTCTCTTCTCTCTCTCTCTCTTCCTCCTTTCTCAGATTCTTCTGAAGTGAAACATGTCCAAGGAGGCCACCTTTGCGTTCATTTCTTTCCTTCTCTTTGCATCTTTTCTAGCCCATGCAGGAGGCAGGCCAGTGCCGGTGGATCCAAAAGAGACCAGTCTTCAGGTACTTATCAGGACTGTCTCTTCTTCGATTTCAGCTGTTTTTGTAGAGAAATAAAGAGAGGAGGAGAAGTATAGTTCGATTTGACATCTTCTTCTTTCTTTTGTTGTTAGTGCAGGGTGTTGAGAAGGAGATGGCTGAGAGAGTGGAAGAATGCGTGGGAGTTGGGGAGGATGAATGCTTGATGAGGAGGACCCTGGTTGCACACACTGACTACATCTACACCCAGGAGCACCATTAAGATGGGTGGTTTAGTTCTTTGGCCTGTGGATTGTCTGCCACAAGGATTTCATCTATTATTGTGCTTAAGCTGGAATTGATAATATTTGGGTTTTTAGATTCTAAAGTTTTAGGAAACCTAAGAGAGAGAGAGAGAGAGAGAGAGAGAGAGAGAGAGAGAGAGAGAGAGAGAGAGAGATAGAGTCATCATATGCATGCCATGTAAAACTACTTGGATTCTATGTCTATGTACTTCAGTGTTTATGAAATCCAACCTTAGAGAAGCTGTTTAATATACATGTAGTGAATATTGATCTTCATGTTCATCAGAAGAACACAATTGGAAGTAGAAATCTTCTTTTCCATCATACAAGTGCATGTATCAAGTTGATTCTGGTTGAAGCTCAAGTTGCTCATGGTATCACCACAAGATGATCTCAATCCAAGTTGTTTGGTCAAAGAAATTTGTCACAAAAGAGAACCTGTTAACTTCATGCCCTCATGTCCACCACCTCATGCAGCAGAGAAGAAGTTAGCTTCATGCCCTTCCATGAGATAATATTTAGCTGATGTAATGCTTGTTATTATATCATAATTAGTTGCTCCATCATCCTAAAGAAGGTTAAACTACTGCAATATAAGCATTTTTATTTCATATCTTGTAATTCCAGTTAGGTGATCAAAGTATATAGTTTGACACACTGCATTTTCTTCTTACAGTTGATGATGATATGTTAACTCATCATAAAGTATTCCAGAATGGATTGTTGCTTCCTTGTTCTTCATTATTGCCTGTGACTGTGTGAGCCACTTCATGGAGATAACATGATACTGACTTGGTGATGTTCTGTGAACATATAGTGCTTCCATTGATGAGATTCCTTTTCTCTGTAGTCATGTGATCCTTCTTTGGCAGACATGAAGGCTATTCGATTGTGACCTGGATGGAGTTGGGTACTCCCAACCCTGTGAACTTGTACAGCTTCTTCCGTTCATCAATTCTTTTATCTGCAGTCATGTGATCTTTCTTTGGAAGACCTTCTGATGATTGTACTGCTGTCACCAATTCACATCATGTAGTCAATATCATCCTTCAAAAGTTTACCTGAATCTTTTCTTCATAAACATTCTTCCCATTCCTAGATGTAATGTCATTTTTTATCTGATTTATATTTTTTTAGGTGGTGAATGTCGATCCTGACATCAGAATCTTACAGTGATTTGATGATGAAGTCTTTCTTAGTCGAGTTAGCTAGCACCTAAACTCTCATGATTAGCGATGACTATCATCATCATCGTTCTCATTATTATTATCATCGTCTAATTAATTTATTTTATTTATGCTAATTTTAATCAGATCTATTCAACCTCGGATCACTGCATTTCTAACACAATTCCTTGGAAGTATATTTAGCTGCGAAGATGCATTCTCAGTGTCCAGCCTGCTTAGATTTTGCTGCAAAATTGATGAGGTGATCTATTTATATCTTGTCACAACATGAGTTAAAAGATGTAAGCTAACAAAGGTTCAAAATGTGGGATATTATCTATGTATTCCGATACCATTTGGCAGCATATAACATTAGGTGACGATTGGTATGAATGTTGACCAATAAAACAAAAGCGTTATTCTTGATACCAACTTAAGCGTATGGAGAGGGACTCGAAGGAGTGACATACACATACTATCATCATCATCATTATCTTTAAATTATGAGGTTTTATTTTTTTTACGAAAGACAACAAGCATGCTAGTCAAAATCTTTATCAATCACATTATTTAATATCCTCAAAATTTTAATATTTAATAAATAAATTTGAGATATCATCATCATATCAATATTTTAGACATAAAAATTTATTAGACAAAATGATAAAAAGATTGAGTTATATTTTTCTCATGTAGAAAATAAAAGTCATATACCTAAATACCACTGCTTTGAATATATAAATAACACAACCATAAAGAGCAAAAAAAAAAAAAATCTAGAATGGAACATAAAATTGAATTAGTCAATTATCAAACTAAATGGTTAAAGCTCCTAAATTATTTAATCGAATCAAAAGAAAATTAAGCAAATATTAAGTGTCATGTCACATTAAATTAGAGAGGAGGAGCGATTTTAAGGTTTTTTTATCCTCCAATTTCAAACAATTACTCAAAATAATAATTAGAGTCATTTCTTGGACGTAGCGCGGCTTCGACTCCGCCCTCTCACTTCTCCTCGTCTCCGTTCGCTCCCTCGACCACCTCCTCCTCCGCATGCCTTCGACTCCGCGCTCCCTTCTTTAACTTTCCCATCCGAGCTCACCTTTCTATCCTCCTTTTCTTCCTCCGTAGTCCCTGAGTAGATTTATGACATTTGGACAATCCACGAACTGCCAATTCTTTTAGATCCTCCACGGGAGGATTCATCCCAAAGATTACATGGTTCATAAGTTTCCAGTTGTGGATCTCCCACCCAATGTTACCCTCAGGTTCCTGAGGTCCTACCTCAGCTCTGGCCAACTGGAACGTGCCCGAGACCTGTTCGACAGAATTCCACACCCTGATTTGCGCTCGTTGACCATCTTGATCTCTGCTTTCACAAAGAATAATCTTCCCAAAGAATCCATAAGGTTCTATCGGACGCTTCGGGAAAACAAGGGCCTCGAGCCTGATCGTTTGGTTCTGCTTTCTGTGGCCAAGGCATGCGCCAATTCTTCCGATCTCGTTGAAGCCAAATGGGTGCACGAGGAGGCTGTCAAGTTTGGATTTTCCTCGGACCTTCTCCTGGGTAATGCACTGATCGACATGTATGGGAAATGTGGATTTCATGACGGGGCTAGGAGAGTCTTCGATGACTTGCCGCAAAAGGATGTGGTCTCCTGGACTTCTCTCATTTCGGCTTGCATGAGTTGCAGGATGCCGGTAGAAGCATTGCAAGTCTTTAGTGATATGTTGCATCTTGGAGTAAAACCAAATTCAGTCACTCTGTCAACTGTCCTTCGTGTCTGCTCGGAGTCAAAGGCATTGGATGTTGGAAGACAAATTCACTGTCAAGCACTTAGAAGGGCACTCGAGGATGATGTATATCTAGGTAGTGGACTAGTGGATGTGTATGCTAGTTGCTCAAGTATCAGGCAAGCCAGGATTGTTTTTGATACAATTCCATACAAAGATACTGTGTCTTGGATTGTGATGTTAGCTGCTTATTTTGTCGATGGGGAATGCGAAGAGGCTCTGAAGCTATTTGAGCTAATGAGATCTGGAGGGGTTGCTTTGATCTCTGCTTCATGGAATTGCATGATCAGTGGGCTTGCACAAAATGGAAGGCCAGAAGAAGCATTCAGAATGTTGGGTCAAATGCAACAGTTGGGGTTCAAGCCAAACCATATCACAGTGGTTAGTGCACTGCCAGCTTGCTCCTACATTGAGAGTTTAAGAAGAGGGAGAGAGATTCATGGATACATTTTCAGGCATCGGATTTTGGAGGGTATGGTGCCCTTGACAGCTCTAGTTCTAATGTACGCCAAGTGTGGGGACTTGGATAAGGCCAGAGAGGCCTTCAACCAGATGCCCAGGAAGGATACAGTTGCATGGAACACAATGATCTTGGCAAATTCGATGCATGGATGTGGTGAGGATGCATTAGCAGTATTCCACCAAATGCTAGAATGTGGTGTCAAACCTAATTCGGTCACATTTACGGTGGTTTTGACTGGTTGCAGCCATTCACAGCTTGTTGATGTGGGCAAGTCGATCTTTAATTCAATGAGCACACAACATGGTCTTCAACCTGATGCTGATCATTATGCCTGCATGGCTGATGTCCTCTGCCGTGCTGGTCATCTTGAGGAGGCATATGGATTCATTCAAAGCATGCCCATGCAGCCAACGGTGGGCGCATGGGGCGCATTGCTTGCATCATGTAGAGTGTATAAGAATGTGGATTTAGCAAAGATTGCAGCAGCACATCTTTTTGAAATTGAACCAGAGAACCCTGGGAACTATGTGTTGCTATCAAACATACTAGTTGCCGCCAAGCTGTGGGACGATGCTTCTAGCATCAGAATGTTGATGAGGGACAAGATGAGGGACCGAGGCGTTACAAAAGTACCTGGATGCAGCTGGGTTCAGATAAGGAACAAGGTTTACACATTTGTTAAAGGCGACGATAGGAACGCTCTGCGAGACGAGATATATGGTTTTCTGAAAGAGATCAGGGAGAAGATGCGGCTGGAGGGTTATCTTCCCGACACTGATTACGTTTTACAGGATGTAGACAAAGAGGAAAAGGAAGAATTGTTGTGCAGTCACAGCGAAAAACTTGCGGTTGCATTTGGCATTCTTAACTTGAAAGGAGAATCAGTCATTCGGGTGTTCAAGAACTTGAGAATCTGTGGAGATTGTCACAGTACCATCAAGTTCATGGCCAAGATAATTGGGGTGCAGATAATTGTCAGAGACAATGTGAGGTTTCACCATTTCAGGTATGGTTCTTGTTCGTGTCGGGATCTGTGGTGATCTATTGAATTGCTTCATCTGTGATGATCTCTGAGGTTGAGGAGTTATACTTGTTATGGTTAAGTAAATTAAAAGAGTCAAAATATTTATATAGTGTCAATTTCATGATGTACTGATATTGAATATTTTGGACATTGATAGCCTAAACATAATGATGCACTATGGAGTTTGGCTCATCATAGGAATGATGCCATTTGGTTCTGACTAAATACTTAAGTATATGAGTCTTAGCCCATATGGGATACCTATTTTCCAAACTAAATCTAGCTTAGATCTATCCCAATCTTGTACATACCAGATAATTATTCTCCAGATAATTTCTGATTCCAGAATATTTGATGCTTTGGTCTATGTTGATGTGTTAAATCTGATCAATCTATTTTGCTCTTTTTTTGACAGACTAACATCCATGTGTAAACACATAATATTTGTGATCCCAGTTTAATCTCATATTAGATAAATGATGTTTGAATTTTTCTATGGAATTACATAGGATTATTATCATTATTTTGGATGAAAGCATATTGGATACTTATCGTAGCTTCTGATATACATGTATTAGTTATATATACAATATGTTAATCAATTTCTATTAATTATTAATTATTATCAATATGTTAATCAAAACAAAGTAATTGTTTTTGTTTAGCAATGGGTAAAGTGGAAGTATAAGGCCGTCGATAAGCGGCCCGGCCCACATTGTTCACGTGTCCCTCGGTTTCCACATGCTCTCAGCGAGCTTGTCGCCTCTCCGTCTCCGCTTTCACGTTGCAGTCGCTCCGTCAAACATGTCTTCTCCTCTCTCCTTCTGTCAAACCATGCTTGTTTTCTAGGGTTTCGCTCCTTGAATCCGTCGGACCGAGTCGAATCCAATGTTTGCCTCCGCCAATTCGGTGCTGCCGCCGCCGTTTCTCCCCTCGGCCTGCAGTTCCCTCAGTTCTTCCCACGCCTTGAAGCGATTCCTTCGGGTTAAGGCCGCTTCGGTGGGCTCGGGCTCCGATGCGAACCAATCGCCGTTGACGTCGTCTGCGAAGGGGAAGAACCCGCTGGCGGCCGTCCTGGAGCTGCCGAGGTCGCTGTGGTGGCAGACGATGCAGCCGCTTGGCGACTTCGGGTTCGGGCGGACGAGCGTGTGGGAGGGCGCGGTCGGGCTGTTCATGGTCTCCGGAGCGGTGCTGTTTGCCCTCGCCATCGCCTGGCTGCGGGGAGTCCAGCTGCGGTCGCGGTTCAGGAAGTACCAGGTGGTGTTCCAGTTCTCCCAGGCGTGCGGTATCTGTGTCGGCACCCCCGTCCGGATCCGCGGGGTGAATGTGGGCAGTGTCGTGCGGGTCGATTCCACTGTGAGGAGCATCGACGCGGTCGCTGAGGTGAGTGCGCTTGCATGAATTCCTCTGGTTGCACTTGGTTTGTGGAATTCGAATGTCCTTGGAAAACCAATGTATTGAGGACAGTTCATGCGGATGTTCTAATTTTGACTCATTTCTTGTCGAAAATGGAAGAAAAAAAGATTAGAGGGCAACTTAAATATCACTGCCTACAATGTTAAAATGCAACATATTAGTATCTCTATATGAATAATTCACTTATTGTCACCTTTTCTACCAATGTACCATGATATCATATGGCACACAAGTACTTCTTGTTTCAAGTGCTAAAGTTCATTTGCTTTCAGGCTTTCATTATACATGAGCATATTTTCACTTTGTTAGTTCCGCATATCTATATTGAACTGCTCGACATGTATATGAGTCCATTTGAATTTTAGTATATTCATAAGCTTCAATCATCCAACATAATCAAAGATAATGATCTAACTTATCTGTGTGCACTCTGTCAGTAGAATTTTGTTTTCATTTCTAAGTACTTGGCCTTTAGAAAATTTTGTTTTGACAGTCTTAATATTCCCAATAATCAGGTTTTGACCTAAAGTCGCAAATTCTCAATATTTGTGGGAAAGTTCTAATCAATGTCAATGTTGTCTAACCAGTAATCTTTACTACTTTTTTATATGTTACTTTTTCAGCACAGCTCTTTTCACTACTCTGGTTCAGTTGAGAAGTGTTAGCTTCACTATGTTGATGAGTTGGGTTAACTTTCGTACCATGTTTTATTTTAAGAGAGATTATAAAACCTCTGTCATCATTGTAAGCTAAAAATCTAGTAGTTGGATACTAGAATGCTAAAAGTTGTCATTTTCTCTACAACACATTAAACACCTATACCATGTGGATTCCTGATGCTGCTGCATCTCTTTATTATATGATGCACTAAAGAACTAAATATTGATGTATGATGTTGATAATAATATGGTGAGAGCTTTTTCTATACCTGAGCTTCTTAGGTTGGTTGATTCCAAATTAGTAATTAACCTTAGCTTGATGGTAGGTTGAAGATGACAAAATTATTTTACCTCGAAATTCTTTGGTTGAAGTGAATCAGTCTGGCCTTCTTATGGAAACTTTGATTGATATTACACCACGAGATCCACTTCCTGAATCTTCTGTTGGTCCTCTTGATGCTGATTGTGTCAAAGAAGGTCTAATTGTTTGCGACAAAGAGAAGATAAGAGGACAGCAAGGGGTAAGCTTGGATGCATTGGTTGGAGTGTTTACCCGTCTTGGACAAGAAATGGATGAAATTGGTATTTCCCGAAGCTATAGATTGGCTGAAAAGGTGGCATCTGTTGTAGAAGAAGCACAACCTCTCCTTGCAAAGGTGCGAGGAAGTTTTTTTAACTTTTTTAGAATAGCTTATAGTAAGTATCATTCTGCATCTTTGTTCTGCTGATCAAAAAAGTTTGGTGTTTTATGTCTGAAATCCATCACATCTCCATAACCAGTGGCTCTGCTATATTCTTTTATCAGATCAGATGTTATTTCACTAGAACATCCAAAGAACTTATTTTCTTTAAAGGAAATATCAAAAGAAAAAACAATCTATGATCATTGGACATCATGAACTTCTTTAAATTGCAGAGATTTACCTTTTCCTGGAGGCTCATTGTCTTGGTTATTCTAATCTATTTCAGAATTCTGATATGTTCTGTAGCTTAATAATCACTCGTGTAATTATCCTACACTGGAGCATAAAAGCATGAGATTATGCCTCTTCTATAGGTTCTCACTAGACTTGCTTTGCTCATATATGTTTTGCTTTTCGTTATAAATGGATTTTTTAATTACTATCATATTGTTAGATATATAGGGTCATTGATAATTTGGTATGGTCTTATGCCTAAATAAGGTGTCTGTAGATCCTCATGTTTTTTAGGCCATTCAGAAAGTGTGGGTTTTAGCATGTGTCAGTCGAATTTTCTCAGTAGTCTAGAATCTTTAGATAACAAATTCTGGTGTTATTTCACAATTCTTGTGCTTGTGAACCAAGGGTGTCTCACACCTAACATTTTGAAGTCGGTACATCAGCATGAAGTTTGAATCATTTCGTTCCTGCTGGGCAATGAGAGGAGCTTCACTTCATTATCATGCTATTTTACTTCAAAAGAGATTTTCCATTCATAATCTGAATTATTTTGCATTTGTTTTGGTTGCTGTTCTTATTTCATTATTTTTCTTTCATAAAAAAAATCAAATTTGCATTCTTAAATATGAAGAATTTGTTGTAGTGACGCAACAGATTGAGGCCTTGGCTGAAGGTGTCCAACCTTTGTTAGCTGAGGTACGTGATAGTACTCTGTTGAAGGATGTGGAAAATTTAACCAAGAGTTTAGCTGAGGCAACTGTGGATTTAAGGTATAACCTTTTAATATTACCAGTATAAGGTAGTTCATTTGTTTCAAATATTGTCAAGTGCTTGCATGTGCATGCTTATACGAGTTGCCATTGACGTTACATATCAACAAGCATTATCGTAACAGAAATAGATTTGTGTTAGATACAACAAGCTCTTATTCCAAATTTTTGTGGTTGACTAAAATGAGCAGCCAAGCGTATAATGATCTTGTCGTGTGATTGAACTAGGACATTCATACATGTGTAGCCTGCTCATGAACATGAGAAGACTCAAACCCATAGAATTTGTCTGGAGACTATATATATATATATATATATATATATATATATATATATATATATATATATATATATATATATATATATATGTGCAGAAATAATTCAGATTAGAAAGATCTTTCCTTTGATGAATAAAATTTGCTATTGCTCTTTTCATGTTTTCGTCATGTTGAAGCTGTTTCTGAACCCCTAACTAATGTCCTGCACTTCCTGAAATTAGCACATTGATTTCAACATTTATCATAAGGCTGTTGCAGATTAGATACTGCTTGTAGAATAGGCTCAGGTTCAGTTCACAGGACTTTTATGAAGCACTAATGCAACTGTCTTCAGGAGATAGGACAAATAGTATAAAAGAAGCTGTCACCTGATATTGGATCAAGAAGAAAGACACAATATTTATGGATGGTCTCACATACTGATAGAGGTCCATTTGTGGATGGGAAGGCAGGCTATAGTTTTTTTTTTTTTTTTCGGCTTAAACTTTATCCTTGTTGTATACTTCTATCAAAAGCTTTTCTATGTAGGAAACTTCTTTTGTAGACGCAGCCTTGAGTTTCATGTGAGACATTCGTGTCCACAATCACTAACCTTTAATATTTTGCAGGACGGTTCGGTCTGCCATCCTTACTCCTGAGAATGCTGAACTAACTAGGCAATCTATTTTCACCCTCATATTTACTCTGAAGAACATTGAGGTGAGGCATCCATGTACTCTATTTGAAATCTTGTTTCTTAACAAAAAAACTCTTTAAGAAGTACTCCTACATGTCCTTTCAGAGTATTACCTCAGACATCTCGGGCTTCACAGGCGATGTGGCTGCAAGGAGAAATTTGAAGATGCTAATTAAGTCCCTTAGCAGACTTTTATGATTGTGTTGGAGCCAGGCTTTTGCCAGCTTATCTCTGGAACTTTTAACCACAGGTATGCTTGAAGGACTTGAGCATGGAAAACAGTATACTGACTCTATCTTGAGAACCAGTATCTCAAATTTGTCATGTGAAGAGATGCATCAGATGCTGCAATTTGTTGCTGAGGAATGAAGTTTTCATGTTGTTTCATCAATTATTACAAAATGAGATGAATTCAAAAAGCAGGAATGGACTGATTGCTTTTGAGTTTTAATTTTATTCTGTATTTCCAATATGTTGGATGTATTCATGAAGAGAAGATGATCATCATGTTGTAGATCTTTGTTTCCATACTGGAATGAGCACTCCTTCACTCTCCATCCATCAGCAGTTGGCTTCTCAAGATGTGGAATCAATATAATTTCAGTAATTTGGGTCTGGATCGTCAAATTTATCCCAGCTCAAACCGTAATTATCTTTTTGTTGCTCTTTATGGTTACAGGGAGTTCAACAAGTGCTGTGCCAAAGCTGCGTAAGAGCTGCTGGAACTGATAGATCTTAAACTTGACACACAAAGAGATCGAATACTTCAAAGATGGAACCTGCTTCATCAATCTTTGCCCTTAGTGTTGGCCTGTCACCAAGATTCCAGAACCATTTATCATCATCCGATTCCCGGCAGAAATGGTAAGCAACATAGTTTCTTTTGATGTGTATTTGTAAATGAGTATGTTTTCAGGTGTCCATTATGGTTCTTAGCTACCGAGATCATAAAAACGTAGTTGTTGGACTTTGAGCTCTCCTTAGTTCAAATGTCATGAACTCCATTAGAACAAGCAAATATAATTCTTAAGATGGTGATATATTCTGATACATAACAAAGTTTGGACTCTTCTGTTGTACAAATGATCACCATACACATCGTAAAAATTATCTGCAGTACGATACGCATTGATGACATGTAGCAAGACATAAATTGAACTTTAAGAAATGAGGTGTTTGCAGGGCCAAAATTAAGATATAAATTTTGGCCCTATAGGCTATTTGGTTGCTCAAGTGGACTACCTATATATATATATATATATATATATATATATATATATATATATATATATATATATATATATATATATCCCGATTAATTCTGAAAGTCGAACACTAAATATGGTGATTTTTGATAGACTTTATTCATAGGGGACCATTCAATGAAGATAAATCTACAGGAACACAGAGGGTCCTCATCACTGATCTGGTTCGGATCGGTCGGGTAACATTTAAACCGGTCTGTCGTATCAACGGATGTGACACAAAAGAGTCCACGTGGAGGCATCGACACCCTTGGATCTCTCAAACAATGTCGAGTCCTCGAGTAGCCGTTGTCAAATGAAGTCCAAGACAAGCGAAAACGGCAACAAATCTGTAGTTCCAAAATTGACCTCAGTTCAAAACCTCATCACGACCGGGCGTCAAAATTTTAAATCCGCGTCAAATCGCACCCGTCCATTTTTTGTCATCCCTCCTTCTCGGTTCGAATTCCTCGACTCCTGTGTCTCATTATATGTGCCGTTCCGCTTGAGCTGAGAGAGACCACCATTTCTTACACCGAGATCTATCGCCTCCGTCTCCTCTAGTTAGGGTTTCTTCTTCTCTCTTCCCCCACCCAGTTGCGATGAGAGTCACCAATCATCTGATCTAGTGAAGACTGGTCATCTAATTTAGTTATCAGTTCGAGAGCGCGAAAGGTTCCTTCAGGATTCTTCCGCTCCGGATCTTGTTCTTGAATTCCTCATTCAGGTATGCTGCGTGTCACCTTTGGTCCTGGTTTCCTGATTGGAAGCTTTTTTTTTTAAATCTATTTTGTGTTTTCTTGGTGAAATGAGTTTAGGATGTTGAGAGATCTGAGGATTTTCCGCCGGAATTCGAACACTGGTAAGGCTCCCGCCTCGGAGAGCAACAATGAGAACCTCCCCGTGGATCCTTCGGGTTCTTCGACTTCGCAGCTGGAATCCGATCCATCTCGAGCCCCTCTGATCACGATCCAAGAGCCGGTGCAAAACCCTAAGCCGGGGTTGGATCAAGGAGCAGTTTCGAGGAGGAAGCCGGAAACAACCCACTTCAGGAGCCAGGTGAAGGGTTCGGATTCGTCCCGGTTGCCGTTCCGCACCCCAGAGAAAATGGTAAGCCGGCAAAGGTTTGGTTGGGGCCTCAAGGGTGAGCCGGGAATGAGTGACGCGGACAATGGTGACGATTTATGCTACGAAGGTCCCAGCAGCCAACTTCCGCCACTAAGCCGTGGCGGAAGCATATGTTCTGGAGGTGGATTTGGTTTGATCACTCCTCGTATGTATAGGACGGCTGCGAAGGCGTCATCGGTGCATTCAGATTGCAGTTCTACTCAGAGCACTCCAACGAAGAGTGTTACGAAGCCTCCAAACTCTGGTTTCAGCAACTCCCGTCCTCCCGTTAGTGCAAGGACTCGAACAATGAGCATTGGAACACCAAGAACAACACCGTCATTTGCCACTGTTGCACATTCATCTGAAGTGCCGCACTTTGAACTCAAGGAGGATCCATCATTCTGGATGGATCATAATGTGCAGGTAGCACAATTTTTGTTATTGTTTAGCCTAGCAAATTTTGTTTATGAATGCTATACCAACATCTATTACTCTTAACAACGTCGCTGCACTAGAATTGTTGAATCATGATTCTTATCCCACAACAAACAATACATTTCCAAGATACTTTTCACAAGGTATCTTCACCACAACTACAGAGCAGATCTTCTAGCTGTATTTGCCATATTCATCATCTGGGCAGTGAAGGGGACAATAAATAATTTTGATAAAAATGGCCTACATAACTATGAGGAAAAAAGCTTTCTAGGTTTTCTTTAATGTTTTAAGCTTTGTAAGGATGGCTCTTTCTCCAATCCCCTGGATTGTTCTCACCTCTAGTCCACATCGCTTTTAGCTTCTGCTTCTGAGGTTTTAGTGGTTGCCTTCATCATCCAACTTGCTGACTCCTTGAAGATTTCCTGGCATGTAAAGAACAAGGGATTTGTATGTACCTAGTTGTCTATTTTGTTACCAAAATATATTTGTTTTTCTAGCAAAATTTAATAAGCATCGTAATTATGATAATATGATGCCAAATCATAACTGGTTAGCAATGTAGGATGTTCTGTAGAAGGGGAAGATTGGCAAGCAGTTTAACATGCCAAATGGAAGATTGTAGGTATCCTTCTATCCTGTTCTATCTCAAAAAAAAAAAAAAATTCTTCGAATAGCTAAAAGTGAGCTTAGGTTTTAGTAATTATAATATAACAATGCTAGACATGATGAAATCTTACAATTATAATTTAAAACACTTTTACTTGTTGATGGATGGTAGACAAGCGCATTGAATTGTTTTCTGTATCCACACTGGCCATGTTCAAATACAACACTTGTAGATATTTTCTGGACATGGATACTCAGAGCATCTGATTTTAAAATAGTTGCCAGAAGTATATATACTTATGGATACTTGTAAATATACTTCTTTAAAGAAATCTGTCTTTCGTAAAAACTGAACTTGTGATTATAAATAGGATGCATATATAATTATATTGTATTATTTCATCCAAATTGATCATCAAAGAAATTAAGATAATGAAATTATTTCATTTACTTAATTTGTTAATATAATCTCCACATTTTGTAGTACTATGTTACTGAAAATAATTAATTTCATCATGAATATCTTAGAGATGATAATTAGTTGTTATTAACTATCATATTATGTAGATATTTTTTTAACACTAGAAATTAGTGCTGAACTATATTGCATATAGTTTTGTGGATTTAAAATATTATTCTCTTTCCTATTTGTGTATTATCAAGCTATGCCATGATGTAGCTATACACACTAAAAAAATGTCAAGCACGTAACTATCCTACTTTTCAAAATTTGACACATTGATGTATCTATATTGCATTTCTATCCTTTATTAGTAACCAATACTTTGTAGGTCACAGAAAAATGTTGCAAATTTTATCATGTCCTTACATTTTGGTAAGTCTAATTATGTTGCCTTAAGTATCAGAATTGGAGAACATAAAAAGAACAAAAGAGTAGAAAACTTTTATGGGCTCGTATTTTTATTCAACTCCTAAGTGTGTATAACAGAAGAGAAAAATACACTACAAGCAACTGATGTTCTCTCTTTTTTTTTCCCCCTAATTAAATGATTGGTAATCTTCCACAATAATGATCCAAAACAATATATCCATCTAGAGGAGTTTATGAAAAAGACAATACAAGCTATATTCTTCTATTTTAAACTAGCTCGTCAATCATTTTGGATAAATCCATAAAGACTCGGTGTAGATACTAGATAAGATGATGCTTAGTACCTTTGAATGCCTACCATTTTTTGCATGCTCTCCATTGTAAAAATCGTTCAAGAGTCGAGTCAAAAAACTGATGCTGCTTATGTATTTTGCACTTTTAAGTATTTGCAGTGCCATCGTTTATTGAAATTTGCATTTGACAAGATGACATGGATCTAGATTCCTTCATGCCACAGAAATCATTGTAGATGTTGAATTAAAGCAATCTCTTTATCAACATACTGATTGTCTTAATGGATCTCCCAGAACTACATTTTTTCAGAAGTAAATAAGTCTCATTTTATAGGCAGCTAGCTTAATTTGATTATCGAGAAGTCACATTGTATGTGATCAAATGAAAGATAGACAACATTAAATGCTTTTTCTAATCTTTTAGGTTGTCATTCGTGTTCGTCCTCTCAGTAGCACAGAGAAAAGCCTGCAAGGTCTCCACAGATGCTTGAAGCAAGAAAGTGCACACAACATCAGTTGGATTGGTCAACCAGAAACCCGATTTACGTTTGACTATGTTGCATGTGAAACAATCAATCAGGTATGTTTTACGAATTAAGAAAAACAGAGAAAATTATTCAAGGTCATATCAAATTAGTACCTCGGAAATTATATGCAGGAGATGCTTTTTCGAGTTGCTGGTTTGCCAATGGTCGAGAATTGCATGTCGGGTTACAATAGCTGTGTCTTTGCATATGGCCAGGTTTTTCTTTTGCTTTTGTTATATAATGTTTATTTCAGTTGCAAGTTCTCTTATCTGATTAGGTTTCTGTTTAAATTCTCACAACCATCTGTTATCTCTGTATTGTTCTAAATTCTGTTTCAATTAGTATAGACTGGAAGTGGGAAGACATATACGATGCTTGGTGAAATTGGAGAACTGGAAGTGAAACCTAGCCTGAACCGTGGAATGACACCAAGAATATTTGAATTTTTGTTTGCGAGAATTAAAGCGGTAAAATGCTATTATTGGTTCTAATGCTATTTGATCTATAGGTTTTACTAAAGATTGACAGTCACATATATCCTCCTGCAGGAGGAAGAAAGCAGGAGGGATGAAAAACTAAAATATAGCTGCAAATGTTCCTTCCTTGAGATTTACAATGAACAAATTACTGATCTTCTTGATCCCACCTCTAGCAATCTGCTTGTAAGCACTATTTTAGATTATGTTTGAAGTCCTTAGTATTTCTTATATCATACAAGAAGCTCTTGATTTCTTTTAGCTAATGTCTTATATCCCTTGATCCTTTTTGACATTATACATATTGAGTAGCTGCGAGAAGATATCAGGAAGGGTGTCTATGTTGAAAATCTTACGGAGTATGTAGTCGAGAATGTCAATGACATTCTAAATCTTCTTATACAGGTAGATGATATTCTCTGAGTGCACAATGTTCATCATCATGGAAGCTATCATTTGGCATTGGTTTTGTTAAACTTCAACTTATCATACCTTTTGCTAGGGTGCTGCAAATAGGAAAGTGGCAGCTACAAATATGAACCGTGAGAGCAGCCGTTCACACAGTGTTTTTACTTGCATAATTGAGTGTAGATGGGAAAAAGATTCAACTGTAAACTTACGTTTTGCAAGACTAAATCTTGTTGATCTAGCGGGTTCCGAAAGGTAAACCTCAATGCCAAGTTGTTCCAATGTTACCTTTGGGTATTTGGTCCAGAGGCTAAAAGCTTTGCCAACTAATATGCACTTTGAACAGGCAGAAAACTTCAGGTGCTGAAGGTGAACGCCTAAAGGAAGCTGCAAATATTAACAAATCCTTATCGACACTTGGGTATGAAGTTCAATGCCAAAAAGTGATTTTTTAAGAGTTCCATTTCTTTACTTATTCATATCACACCTTTTGCTAAATCCCTGGTTTTGAAATATGGTTTCTCAGACCACGTATTGATGACACTTGTGCATTTGCAGTCATGTTATAATGGTTCTTGCTGATGTGGCTCATGGGAAGCACAGACATGTTCCTTACAGGGACTCAAGGCTCACATTTCTTCTCCAAGTGAGAAACATTTGAGTGATTCTATTTTATTCTCATTCCTTTCCCTTAAATATTTCCAAATTCATGTCTGTCACCATCTCAGGATTCTTTGGGTGGCAACTCCAAAACTATGATAATTGCAAATGTCAGCCCTTCGATATGGTATATGACTGCCTTGCTAAATTATTTTCGTCTCTCATGTTTGCAATTTTTGATGTAGTACACTAATACAAACTGATTTCTCATCGTATGCTGTCCAGCTCTGCTAATGAGACTCTAAGTACCCTTAAGTTTGCTCAGCGAGCAAGACTGATACAGAACAATGTAATTGTTTTTAAGCTATAACCATTATGTTCACTAAATTAGCAAGTTTTGTTAAAAATTTTAACTATATATTTGGTATAACTGATCCTTCTTCCCCTTCAAATTATAAGGCTGTCGTCAATGAAGATGCTTCAGGAGATGTCATTGCATTACGACATCAAATACATTTACTAAAGGTGGACTCAAATCCTTAAGACTACTTTCCCCTTCGTGTAGTGGTTAGCATAAAACTTAAATGGTGGCTTCCTAGCAGGAGGAGCTTTCAGTTCTTAAGCGTCAAAATGTCTCAAGATCTCTATCGTTTCGTAATGCAATTTTTGAAAATCGTACGAGTGAAGTTTGTGACGAATATGTTGTGGAGAAATTGCCAGAAGTTCCTGAAGCAAATGATGATGAGTTCCAGACAGATGAAGGTGTGGACAGCATAAGAGTTTCGATGAAGCAGGTAAATATATGAGACTTACAAATGGTTTATCATGGCGACCTGGGGTTTACTTTATTCAAGGTGTAGATCTTTCTGTTTTTATGGAAACATAGGGCATCGCATGCTCCTTGACATGGCAATGACCTGAATCATCATAACAGGATGATTATGTCACTGCTTGAGTTCCTTATATGGTGTGTGTCTGGAAGAATTAATTACTTGTGACAAAATCATAGTTTCTAAGTAGATGAATTTTTCTTATGACAATGATCTAGAAATGAATAAGGCTTCTGCTCTTTATGATTTGTGCTGCAGTTGAAGTCCTTGGAAGCTATACTAGCTGGTGCACTGCGAAGAGAAAAAATGGCAGACACTACAATTAAGAAACTCCAAGCTGAAATTGAGCAGTTGAACCGCTTAGTATGTTTTCTGCTGTAAGATTGGTGCAAAAAAATTACTGACATCTGCAATGAGTTACTTTAAGGATCATCTATCACTTGCATTGTTTGGCAGGTTCGTCAGAGAGAGGATGATACTCAAAGCACCAAAATGATGCTGAAGTTTCGGGAGGACAAGATTCGCCGAATGGAAAATCTTCTGGAAGGCCAGATGCCAGTTGACTCATATTTAATGGAAGAAAAACATGCCCTCTCCGAGGAGGTACAATTGCTTCGTGCAAGAGTCGATAAGAATCCTGAAGTGACACGCTTTGCATTGGAAAACATCAGGCTCTTAGACCAACTGCGTAGGTAGGACATGAATCAGTGGCTTGTAATTTTTTTATTTTTCTCATATCTAATTCACTCATTGTTCTCTTTGCAATATTCTTCTACAGGTTCCAGGACTTCTATCAAGAAGGAGAGAGAGAACTTTTATTAGCTGAAGTAATTGAGTTGCGCAACAAGGTCTCTACAATTGTTCTATTACCATAACTTGTTCATCAGATAAAATTCCTGCAAAATGTAAGCATAGTTTCTTTTATCCTTGCAGCTTATGCAAGTGTTTGATGGAAAATCTAAGCTTGATCAGCACCTAAAGTCAGACATGGAAACCCCAGTATGTGCAAAATCTTCTTGTCTTTCTACACATCTTTCTCTGGACTTATGCAAACCCTTCTAATTAATGCAGACCATTGGAAATCCCCAATTTGCTTGTTCATCCAGAGATAACGAATCATTGTTAGTGGAGGTATTATTCGGGTTCACTTAATAGAACATATTATTTTCAGAATATTTTTTGCTAATAACATCTTATTTGTCAAATGTGCTTCGTGTCTTTTCAGTTAAACAAGACCCATCAGGAGTTAAAAAGCTGCAAGAGTGAACTTCAGTCTTGCTTAGAAATAAATGAAAGGCTCACTAGGTAACTGTATTTCTGCACTAAAAATGATACCTGTATCAATTTCAATTTACTTGTATCTGCTAGTCCTTTGTTTTTCTCTATTACCAACTGTTCATTCCTTTACTTTTGGCAGGGAGATAAGCAATCTGCGAGTTGAATTAAATAATTTTAGGTCTGCAAACCATGTTCAACATGTCAACCTCAAGCATAGAGACATTGTATGTACTACTACCTATATGTTCATCTCTACTACTGATCTTCTGCTAATTTATTGGTATTTACATGTAAATTATTTTACAGTACAAAAATCATCTGTAATTATCTCAATGTGCTTTCAGGATATGTTAGAGATACCCCAAATGGACACTCAGGTCTGTGAAAAGAAAGAATGCTCGCATGAACATATGATGGAACATGCTGAGGAAATTCTGAATTTGCAGCTGGAGTTGGATATACTGAAGACAATCCTAGCAGAGGAGAAGTCATCTTTCGTAGAGGTAGAGGAAAGAGCTAATCATACAAAGAATGAACTTAAATCAGCAAATGGAAGGATTTTATATATGGGTAAGCAGTATGAAGACATAAATAATGAACTGAAAGATGCAAGATCCATCATTGAAGCACTTGAATCAGAACATATTCTGTTGATAAATGAGATGGAAGAAGTAAGGGAAAGGTGCAATCAACAAAAGGAGATTTTAAATAAACAAGAGCAGGAGATATTTCTACTGAGAAACCAGTCTGGTCTCTGTCCCAGTGAGATAGAGAAACAGTCCACTGTTCAAGAGGAGCTTAGGAACATTCCACATGGAAATTATGAAAATGAGGGTTCCCCTTTGCAAGTGAAACTGAAAAAAATGCAAGCTTCTCTTGAAAAGGCAAGAGATCTGAACATGAGGTGCCAAAGTGATCAGGTATCTCAAACATCTCTTGAACAAGAAATGGATGAAGTCCGGAGACAAGTTGAGATTGAGACTGCTGAGGTGATTGTCTGCTTGCAAGAAGAACTTGCTGCACTTCAAAAACAGGCAGATGGCAGCAAACAAAATGAGTTGATCGCTAAACAAAACTTGATTGGACTACAAACAGAGTTGAAAGAGCTACAAGTAAGGTTGCATGTGATGACTGAGGAAAACGAAAAGCTAGGAGACTTGATTGAAGAGAAAGACAGGGATCTTAGGTCACTGACTGAAGACTGGGAAAGATTAGCATGTGAGATTGCTGACATTCTTGTCGATGGAAATATGTCTCTTGAAGAAGCTACTGATCAGGTAGATTCCATCTCTGATTCCTTTCCTAAAAGAAGTTGGATAGGTGAGCAAATTGAGAGGATAATTAAGGGCATTTCAGAAAGAGATCTGCTGATTGAAGAACTTCAGAAATGCTTGGAGGAGGCACAGAATATAAGGTGTGATATGGAATGGAAGTTGAGGTCCTTAAGGGGAGCAACACTTGCTATAACTGAAGCTCAACAACAGGAAAGTAATGATAAAGAACAAGAGATTCTTCGTTTGACCACAGAGATAACAGAGAAGATGTTTACTATAAATGAATTAGAAAATACTATTGAAGTGCAGGAAGAACAAATCAAGAAAGCTGAGCTAAATGCAACTGTTGCATTCATGACTGTGAACAAGTTATCTGAGATGAATGAAGCCCATCTTCAGGAGATTGCACATGTAAAGCTCCTGCTTGAGGAGTCTAAAGAAGTTATTTCTAATAAGGATTCCCTATTACATCATCAAATTTCTATGCACGCTGATGCAGATAAAGAAATTCATGCCCTTAGCATGCAGTTAAATCAGTCTCAGGAGCATATTGCTGAACTACAGAAGCTTTCTCAAAACCAGGAAAGGGCACGAGAATTGGAACAAATGAAGAAGGAAGAAGAGGATGTTGTTTTATCTGTTATGGTAGAAGATTTACTGAAAGCTAAGAGAATTATCAATGATTTTAAAGCCGGAATGACTACACAACAATCTTGTGCAAGTGTTTCATCTGAACAGGACAATGGCCACACATTACAAAGTTCTGGAGATTATACTGTTGACAGTGAACAATACATCACTGAGGACCAAGTAAGTTGATACACCACAATCACTGTTGTTTAATAGTTAAGCTGTCCATGTCACTGGTAACTGATCAAGTATCAATTTCATTTGCAGATGAAGATTGAAGCTGTCCAATCTGTTATGAATTTTGAGCAACAACCTGTTGCAAGCATGTTGTGTGTTAGCTCTGAAAAATTATTGACTGATATTGGGCATAAATCTACTTGTGAAAATGTGTTGGAGTATTCTCACGATAGACAGTCCAATATTCTTCATCTGCAGAAGGAACTAGTGATTGCACTTGACCACCTACAGTATGTACAAACTCAAATGGTACAACTGCTCAAGGAAAAAGAAGAAATTAAGATATCTGAGAAACTATATCATACAAGTATTGAAAAACTTACAATCGATGTTCTTCAATTGAAATCTGAAATCACTGAAAAAGAAAGAAAATTTGAACTTGGGTTGCTACAGTTGGAAAATAAGCTTCGAGCAGTTGAGAAAAATACAATGGAATCTAATACAAGATGGCAAAAAACCAAAGAGGTATTTTTCTGGCTAAACAGAGCATAGAGTTCAATTATGATGTTCATTCTGACTTGTCATTGCCCAGATAGTTCTTAGCCATTTATAAAATTGACATAGCTGTAATGCATATTCATATTTAACATACTTGTACATGCAGTCTTTTTCTGTCTGGATATCAATTATTGACATGTGGAATTATTAACATACTTGCATGATTTTTCGAACACATGATTAATAATAAATTTATTTTTTAGTTTACAAGATGTTATATCTTGCACCTTTCAATATTGACTGGATTTTGTCTCTAAACAGTTTCCAGAATGCTTTACTGTCATTTGGTAGCCATTTACTGAAATAAATTTTCCCATACTTTGTGGTTGGTTGAGCCTCTGTGACTAATTTCATGTTTCAGGTGTCTTAGATTTCACTCATTCTGAAAAGATGAACTATCTTTTGTATAGAAAATCATCTTCTTACTGATATTTCTGTCCATTTCCAATGCAAGGCTACATTTTTTCCTTTTCATTCATTTTTCCTTATTAATGAATTATGAAATGAATAATTTTACATGATTATTTTGCTTCATCTAGGCACTTGAGCTTGATGTCAGTGATGCAAAAACCATTGCAGCCCACAAAACAATTGAGGCCACTCATCTTCTAACAAAGATTGAGGAGGCTCAAGGAACAATGCGAGATGCTGATATCATGGTTAACATGCTGTTACAAGCAAATGAAACTGCAAAATGTGATATAGAAAGACTTCAGAACAGTGAGACCATGTTATGCTATGAAAAGAACCTTTTAATTGATGAGGTACAGCATTTGCAATCTTCCCTTCACATTAAGGAGAAAGAATATACATCCTTGGAAAAGAATTTTGAATCAAACCTTATAGAGGCTAGGGGTTTAGTTCTAGAGCTAGAAGATAGCTGCAGGAATCTACAGACTGCTTTTGCTGAGAAATTTGAGTCTCTAGCATGTGATCTTGATTGGATAAAGTCCAATCTTCAAGATTACACAGAGTCAATAAGAAGCTGTTTGGAAAAGACTTGGTCAGAAATTATCAGAAAAGATTGTGCTCTATCTGTATTACACCTTTGTCACATGGGAATTTTAATAGAGAGAATAACTGGTCTGAACATGGAGAATGGTTTCCTTCAACATGGGCTGTGCAAGTCTAATACTTTAATTGCTGATTTGAGTGAACGCAATGTTAAAGCAAAAGAAGAACTTGAAATATGTAGTGTTCTTAAGGGTAAGTTACTAGTGGACATCAACAACAGTTTCAATCGCATTGCAAAAAAGGAAGATGAAACTGCTGAGTTCAGGACCAGGCTGAATTTTTTTGAAAAGGAAATTTTGCAATTACAATCACAAGAAGAATCAATGTTAGCTAGGTCAAACTCAATGGGCACTGAACTTGCAGTCTTGGTGAAAGAGTTGGATGACAATAACATGAACACCCTAACAGCCTTGTTAGGGCAGGACAAACTTCTAAAGGAAAAAGAAGTACTTAGCAAGGAGCTAGATGATATGACAAGGCTGTTGCATGAGGCCCACAGAGTTAATGAAATGTTCATGGATTCACTTAGAGGAGAGTTAGCTCTGCTTACTGATGAACCACATCCTAAAATTCAAATGAAAGTAGATGTCCCTATAATCAGTAACATGGGATTCTCCAATGAATCTAAACTACTAAAGAAGCTTATGAATTATAAATTTGAATCTATCCTGACCGATTCATTTGCTAAAGATATTGAATTCCTTGTTGTTGTTTCAGAACTGGAGCAGAATGCAATCAAGTGTGATCAGATGGCTTCACATGTATCAAAATTAGAAAAAGAGAATGATACTCTGAGTTCTGTTATCGAGAAAGTTAGCATCGAATTAATCCTTAGTAAAATTGATGGTGATTTAAAATCTAAAGAAATACATTCGTTACACAAGGAAAATGAAAAGATGAGGAATGCAAAAGAGAAGCTGCAAGAAGATCATTTAAGAGTCACAAAAGAGTTACAGGACAAGATTTGCTCCCTGGAAAGTCTTGTTACCTGCATAGAGATGGATTTAGATAGGAAGGAAGTCAAACTAGAGGAAATGGTAAACTCTCATACTGTCATATCAAAGGAACTTGAAGCAAAAAGTGAATTCTATGAAATCCAAAAGGAGAGAACCAAGATCTTAAGGTCTGAGAATGAGACATTGAAAAAAAAATTCCTAGAATTTGTATCTGAGAAAGATGAAGCTATTCAAATGCTTGGTTGTAGTCTTAGACATGGCTCTGATTTAGCTCTGTCAATGGGTGTTGTTATGAGTAGATTATTACATGAAATAGCTGGCCTATTTGTTCTTATAATGGATAGGATGCATCAAGAAAATTTTGAGCACAAAAAGTTGGCATCTAAATTTATTGATGACATAGATTTCTTGGAGAACTCTATTAAAAGCCTATTGTCTGAGAATTCTTCTCTCCGATCAGATCTGATACATAAAGATGAAGTTGCAAAAGGAATTTTGTTTGATTTGAGACTATTACAGGAGTCAGCATCTATTGCAAAGGACCAGGAGGATGAACTCAAACAGATGGCTGCTACAATGGAGTCTTTAGAAGACGAGTTAGCATCCAGATCATGTGAACTTGATGAGGCTATTGTTCTTGGAAAGACAGTAGAAGGTGAATTGATAGAGAAAAATGATAAAATATTGGCTCTTGAGCTTGAGCTTGCTGAAAAACTTGCGACGATAAACTCAATATCTGTAGAAAATATTGAGTTGAAGTCTCACTTGCAGCAAGTCTCGGCGGTGAAAAGTGCTATACAGGAAGAGCTAAATGGGAAATTATTAGTTACTGGAAGATTGGAAGATGAAATACTTACTATGAGCACTTTCATTGGTGAAAGAAATCATTTAATTGAAGATTTGCAGGGTGGCATAGCAAAACTCAAAGAAGAAAGAGATCATCTCAGTATTGAGGTGCATGTCTTGAAAGAAAAGTTGGACATGGCACAAGCCCTTGCTGAAGAAAATGAAGCTATTGCTACAGAAGCTCGCCAGGTTTTTTATGAACAAGAGTTTAATTTGCATGTACTTCTTTATTGTCAATATATTCATGGTTTGAGATAGTACTTGTTTACAGATAGCAGAAGTGAGGAAAGCTTATGTTGAAGAAAAAGAAGAAGAGGTCAAGCTCTTAGAGAGGTCTGTTGAGGAGCTTGAATGCACAGTTTTTGCACTGGAAAACAAGGTAAAGTTAGTCTGTGTATTTATTCAATATCTTTAGGATTTTTCTAGTACTTCTTAATCATACAACTGATGTATTTATTTTTTAACAAAGGTTGATATTGTTAGAGCGGAAGCAGAAAAACATCGATTGCAGAGAGAAGAGATAGAAATGGAGCTTCATACAATGAGAGATCAGTTGTCCCAGAAGAATATACAAGTTCTTCAGAAGGAAATTGCAAAAAGAGATACAGAGGTGTGACTGTTTAATAGTTTTGATTAAAAAGGAGAAACAAACCGAATTATTACCTTTGCATCTTTCCATTTAATTACTTTCATAATTCCAAAGTCAAGATTTACAGCAGAATTCTTATCACTGGCCACATATTTCGATAGTCTAAACATACTATTGATTGACGATTCAGACCTTTCCGTATTCCTTGAAGATCGTCCTGATAATAGTTTCACTACAACAAATATTCTTGTGCAAAGCATATCTTGTGAGTTTTGAATGCCTTGAAAAAGAAATTGATGCATTGCTGCAATATCATATTCTTTGATCTAAACAATAAAATTAAACAATAACATATTCTTTGCTCCAAACATTTCTGAAGACACACTCTGCTAAATGAAGGCAACTAAATTGCTAAATGGAGTGACTGAACATAACACTCTGTTTTTTTCTTGTTTTTGTACAGATTCTCCAATTCAAATCTCACATCTCTGAGCTGAATATGCATGCAGAGGCACAAGCCAGAGAGTATAAACAAAAGGTTTGACACACTTTTGCCAGAATTAATGGAAATATAAAAATAAAATAGAATAGTATTAAATTGATAATCCTGAAAACTGACATCTAGCAATTATCATAACTTTCTATGGCTAATAAAATAACAAATTTCTGTATAGTTTATGGAATTGGAGGCCATGGCTCAACAAGTTAACACGGATCCTGCATCATCCAATTCTGCAAGCTTGACATCAACAAAATCAGAAAAAGGTGCAGCGAAGCCTAGGGGTTCAAGTTCTCCTTTTAAGTGCATTGGCTTGGGATTGGTACAACAAATGAATTCTGAGAAGGATGAGGAGCTAACTGCAGCGAGGCGTAAGATTGAGGAGCTCGAATCATTAGCTGCAAGCCGACAGAAAGAGGTATGGTAGTATTTTAGCTGTTTTTCTACTCCCATTTGGAAATTTGAATGGCAAGGTTAAACAATTTCTGCACCTCTTCCAGATCTTCATGTTGAACACAAGACTGGCGCAAGCAGAGAGCATGACACATGATGTTATTCGGGATCTGCTAGGGGTCAAGTTGGACATGACAGTAAGATGAGCAACTGCTATTCTATAAAATCAAGCAATTTGGTTTCAGACAGATCAAGTTGCAGAAATATACAATCGGGATCGCTTAGTTTTTCTGTATATATGCAGTTCCTATTTAAAACTCAAGGTCTTGATTTGACATCTTATATATTCTCATGAGGGGTATTCACACATAGGTTTGGTCTATTTAAAAAAGTGGAGTACTTGCTTTTTTCTGACACCATTTATCTCCATTTGTTCTAGTCATTGTTAGACGAACCTGAAATGCCAAAGGTAGAGACAGCTCGAGTCCACAATAATGAATCCCAGAAAAAGGTTATTCTTAATATCATATATGATATGAAAATAATAACTTTGTCTTTTTCTCCCTATCAATATTTTGGATTCACCTTTGTAGGATCAAGAGGTGATCAAGCTTAGGAAAGAGCTTAATGAATTTATTCAAGAGAGGCAAAGGTAGAGGCCCTTGGTGAACAGCTGTTAACTTTGTCTTCAAGAATATAAAGCTGGACAGTTTCAGTGCTTCTCTTTGTAAAACATGTTCAAAGATTTTCTTGTTACCCTTATAGCTGGTTGCATGAGATAAAGCTAAGGCATACGGAAATGGTAGATGCACGAATGATGGCGGAAAAGCTTCGACAGCGAGAACAGTTTATTAGCACTGAAAATGAAATGCTGAAGGTACAAACTTTTTTTTCTGTAAATTAATTGTATTTTTTCTTTGTTGATCACTTATTTATCTCTGGCACTTAATCTAAATTATATATATGTTTTAAATTTGTAGGTTGAAAATACAAAATATAAGAAGAGGATTGTGGATCTTGAAGATGAACTCAAAAAGTTTTCGGACCAGCAAAATCTCCAGCACCGTATTCATCACCATGCAAAAATTAAGGTTGGATACAAAACTTGGATATGCAGATTTTTAGATATGACAGTTCAGATTCATATTTTAGTCTTTGATCTTCTTGGTTCATATCAATACACGTGACAGGAAGAGAACACTTTGTTGAAGATGGAGAATGAAGACTTGAATGTCAGATTAAGGCGATCAGAGGAGGTTCTTCTACGAGTGAAGGAAGAACTTGCTCGCTACCGATCGTCTTTCGGAAAGGATCCGTGCATTGACTTTGATGAAGAGGAACAGCTAAGGATGAAACTACAGGTATGTAACCTATTAGTATGCTGCAAGAGTAACAAACTATCAGAGTGGCTTTCTGTAAACTTATTAAAGCAAAAGTGGGTATCGTAAACCAGGAAAGCGAAGAGGAAAGGATACACTTAGCTCAAAAGCTATTGAATTTGTGCACCTGCATTTTGAAGGTTTTTCCCGGTTTTATTTCAATTTTTTGCATCATTTTCAGTAACTTTTTGTTTTCTACTGAAATTTTCATTTAAACATCATTGCAGGTTGCTGGGTTGACTGATCCCACAACCAATATAAGCCCCTCTGCTGCAGAAGATGCAGCCTATCATCTCAAGGACCGTATCAATTCATTGGAAAATGAAATAGAAGACCTGAAACTAAAGGTGATTTGTGCAAAAACACTTCAAAATTCTGTCATAACACTGTTGTTGAACAAAGCATAAATATCCCCATGTTTACTTATTTTCCAAACACACCTTTTCAGTGTAAACTACTCCATGAGAACATCCGACTGTATGAGATTCGGCAACAGTTTTCCCCGCAGCAAACGAAGACAAATGACAATTTCCTGTCCTCATGACAAGGATCAAAGTAGGGCACGCAACATTCATATCACAACTCAGCTACACAACCATCAGAACTCCACGATGAAATTGCTTAGGAAGGTTATTTGGTGAGTTGAGCCACTTGACCAGAGTCATAGTAGAATGGTTAATCACTGATTAGCAGTTAGTTAACAACATATTGTTACTCCATGATGCAATTCTTTAAGAGGATTAGTTGGCAAGTTGGCCTTCTTGATCCTTGTACATTCTATCCATATTCTTTTCACATATGTATGAGTGAAATGCTATTAATTTCTTTCATTTTTATTGTGTCAACTTTGATGCCCATCCATTCGAATCTATCGATGTATTTTTGTCTTATTCCGGTTCGCGGATAGAAAGTGAAACTCTCCTTTCTAGTAACTATGATTCAAAGAAACGTCTCATATTTCTTGGCTTCTTTATTAAGTCATCTGAGCACTGGTCTTGATTTGGTTTGCTGACCTAACCCTCTAATTAGCACATCAAAGTAAGCCACAGCTAATTTGGAATGTCGAAATTAATTGGAACAAGATCGTCAAGTTTGTTTATGATTCTGATTCAGATAGTATCAAAAGTGTGAATCTGGATGATTAGTGTTGTATAGAGCCCAATGAAAATGGCAATCTATCGCCTCCAAATCATTCTGCATGGCATGACTCGGACCCTTGTCAGAGGGAAGAATTCTTGTTACCTAAACCACATACTTCCTCTGCCAACCCTTATCCATCCTTGTCATTTTGTTTGAACTGGAACGGAGGAGACTGAGCCCTATAGTGCATATACTGTTGGTGATCTGATAAACTCCCTCTATGTCTTGATCATTGTTTCTTGAGATCTTTTGCTTCCTTCTCTGCCTCGTTTTCCCTGTGGCTAAGCAAATCTAGTTTCTTCCTAGTTGTTGTGGGGAAGACATGGACCGACCCACCAACACGGAAATCCATGCACACCTCAGGCCACAGACAAACCATTCAAACATGCACGGCCCTGTGTGGTGGTGTGAAACCCTAGGGAAGGTGAGGCTGCCCGCCGCTAGGGGAGCAAGCTTGGATGCACAGGCCCCACCATGGAATAAAAACCTTAGAGAGAGATAGAGAGGACGACGGAGTTGTATTTCCCATGTCATGTCATATCATGGCAGGCACTGACGTTGCAGCACTGTGGCCGACCTATCAAGAGTCAGGTCTTTGTGCACCCAAGCTTCCGTCGCAGAACCATGATCGAGAAAGGAGGAACTGAGGGAATCCATGCCTCGGTCTCCCTGGATCTGTCTCGCTCCTGATCGCAGAACAGATGGCTGTGGGAGAGGAACAGTGCTTGTCGCTCTTTGTCTCTCTTTTCCCTTCCTCTGTTCGTCTATCGTCTCTTTTCGACAGCGACCGGGATGGCCTGAGCCACGGAACAGTGCTGCCTCCTTCGGCGGAGCTACTGCAGCATGGTACGGCCATGTCTTGAGGCGAGGCGTGGTGGTGAGGAGGAATCGTTCTCATCCTGCGACGCCTCCTCGGGCAGCGCGTCCCAGCTCCTGGCCGGGCTCCGACGCGGGTCCCCGCCATGTTCCCTGACGGCCACGCACGCTAGCTCAGTGCACACCACCCTCAGAGCCCGAGGGAGGACGAGGGCTTGCGCCACCGGAGGCCCCGCGGCAGGCACGGCGCCGGTTCGCCAGTGTCGTAGGTGTTCCAGCGGTGGGACCCACATCCCCCTTGGCGGTAGGGGTAATCGTACGTATATTTAGCATATTCATACTCCTACAACCCCTCTCTCTCTCTCTCTAACAGTACGTATTTAGCATAATCATACTCCTATAACTCCTCTCTCTTCGTTCGTGATGTATTACTTTGAAATACTCTATCCTAATCTTGACAAAGGATGTCTATTTGATCGATCTGATGCCCGTAAGCAAACTATGGATCTCGTGGTGCAATTTAGAACACAAGACACAGCTTTATGATAGAGAGAATAATTCTCTCCATCATCACCTCCCGTAATCATCATGTTTGAGTAACAAAAAGGAGGAGAGGACTCAGAATCCACCCATCTCTCACTCCGACATCATTTTGTCACTGTATCGTCTTTCTAATCCTTGATCTAAGCATACTGCTCATGTCAGTGATAGAGTCCTGCAGTACTGGGAACATCATCGCTTTCCGGTTTGCCTCAACTCTCGAGGAACATGACAAGAGACAAGATGCCCACTGTCCCCAGCCTCGTTCCTCCAAAACCCTAACCCATCATGTCTTATAATCACTTACTGTTGGACTAGGATTACTATGGACATGATTGGTGCTTCCTATCCCAATAATTTCTACTGCCTACTTAGCCTTGACTACATATCTACTATGTTCATTTCTTGAGTCATGAAAATAATCTAATATATTCATTTCATGAGTTACGAATATATCATATATAGTCGTGGGAGCTTCGAGTCTGAATCGAGCGAGTGTCGATGTTATTTGCTGCATGAGAAGCTGCTTTGTCACTTTCCACTTCTCAAAAACCTCTTGGGTTTGCTTACAGATAAATCCAGCCATGTAGCAGCTGCTTTATCCTCCCCTCCTCTTCCCCTATATAATCCCCTAACACTCATCATCTGGTAACTCTCCAAGGCAATTGATTCCCCTAACATAGTCCCCATATCTTCCACTTCCAAACTTCCTCAGTGGTTTTCTTCTTTCCCTTCCTTTTGATTTCCTCTGCCTTCTCTTCTTTTTCTACTAGGTTTTCTTCTGCAAGTACTAACATGATCCAAGAGAGGTTGGGTGGGGTGGTGGAGGAGAAGAACATCTCCCACCCCGGAGGCCTTCTGATCGATCACTCCTCCTCGTCTTCCCCCACGTCTTCTGTTTCCTCTCAGTCGCAGTCATCATCCTCATCGTCGCTGTCGTCGGCCGCTTCGGAGCAGCAGCAGCAGCAGCAGCAGAACAACCTCCGTTGTCCGCGGTGTGATTCCACCAACACCAAGTTCTGCTACTACAACAACTACAACCTCGCCCAGCCGCGCCACTTCTGCAAGACCTGCCGCCGGTACTGGACCAAGGGTGGTGCGCTCCGCAACGTCCCCATCGGCGGTGGCTGCCGCAAGAGTAAGGTGGCGCCCGCCATCGCCCTGGCCGGGGGTTACGGTCGGTCAGGCGCCACCAAGACGAAGCCGGCGCCGTCGGACCTCTTCCTGAGGTCAAACCTGACCTCTGGTCTGGATAACGAGCTGCCATCCGGCCCGATACTGTGCGCTCCCCCACATACTTCCCACCTGATGACCCTTTTCAGGTCCACCACCGTCCAAAACCCCAACCCTAACCTCAATTCTGCAACCCATAGGGCCTTGTTTGGTGCCACCACAGTGGCCGAGCAAGAAGGCACACTGCATGCACACAGCCTGAGCTTGGACCCTTTAAGTCATCTCGGTTTATGTGCTTCACTGTGCAGGAACAACAACAGCTACTCATACCAGCAACAGCCGCAGCAGCAGCAGCAGCAGCAGCCTCAGCAAAACAACAACATCACAGATATCCAAGATCTGTGCCACAGGCTAAAATCCTCGTCTAGTTGCTATAACGATCAGTTGCAGACAGTAGCGAACGACGTCGGCAGCTTCGATCCTTCTTCTTGTTCCACTGCTGCTTCTGTGATTACCGCGGCTGGCATGGCCACGAGTTCTCCAACTCCTATCATGGAGCACATCAGACACTCTCTCGGCGAATTTGGTCACTGGAATCAGGCTTTGGCGTGGCCCGATTTGCCCACTCCTAATGTCGCATTCCACTAAGAGCATCCAGTTTCTATGATTACAGATATGGGTCTATGGTTCTACTGTAGTGGTTTAACGTGTGTGTTTATGTTCTTCAGAATGTATTGTTCATCAAGCTCGATTAAGAATCAGATAGTATGTTTACTTTCTTTGTCTCTTTGAGAAGTGTTTCTTTGATTCTGACACACACACACACAAACAGAGATGACAGCCTTCGGAAGGTACAGGGCCTGGACATAGCAGGAGAATTAGATTCTCCCACCACCCAACACACTGCAGCAACTGTGTCTCAGAGAGAGACAGAGAGAGATAGATAGATAGAGAGACTCCTTGCCGTGCAACCTAAACGTTATAGTGAGAAGCGTTAGTGAAGACTCGGGCCTCCAAATTGAATTGGCAATACGTAGGAGGCAGACATCTATGTTGGCATCTCCATCTGATATAATCTTGTCGTGTGATCGAAAGGACTGCATTAGCCGAAGTAATCATGGAGAAGTATAATTTGGAGATTGAGAGTCGGGATTCTTCGCACCCAAATCAAATGGTGGCTTGGAGCAGAGACGGCTGCCTTCCGTGGTGGACTTCGTTTCTATCGAAAGCTCACAGACAGAGTTCTACAAAGACTTCCGCACACCACCTATGGATCGAGCTGCAGTGCCCTGTCTTCAATATCATTCCGGAGGGATGATATTGTTCATCACAATGCTAAATCGTAGCTTAGAATTATACAAGTCCCATTCCAATCTTGAATTGCTCATCACACAACATTGTTTGAAGCATATCAATCAAAGCAACGAAATGTTCAAAGAGCTAACAATGGAATGTAAGAAGAATCAACCACGTCTTTTAGGAGACAATGTTTACGGTCGCTCACATCGGAAAATGAAATGGACACCATATACTTCCACCAAGAAGCTCGATGATGACTATTCTCTGTACAAGTGAAATCAGGTACTGATAACCAAACTCCTATCACTCCACTCATAGTAGCTGCATCTTATTTCTTGAAGCATGTTTGATATGTCTGTATAGAATGAATACCTTCTCGTTGTATTTGCCATAGCTGAAATAATAGCTCAAATGATAAATGTTCTGCATAACTTGGTGAAAGATGCTTTGTAAGGATAAGTTCTTGGACAGAGCCATGGATTACTTGCTTCTCATACATACTTAGAATTAAGAATAGAAATCAACTTCCCTGTGCTGCTCTTGGAGAACCCCATTTGATATATAAGGATTTTAAGACCACTTTCAACTCCTGAGCTTATATGCAGCTTGCTGAAGCTTTGTGTGCTTACTTGACACAAGTGAATGAGTTGGATATTATGCTAATGCACCTAAGAAGCTCTTGAGCCAAAAGATATTGAATATGAGAAAGGGAAGTACTTTTTATTTGATCATGTTATCTTGTTCATAAGATTTTTAGTTCCAAAGAAAGTATTTGACGAGATAATTAAGTCTTTAATTTGAGAGGCCCAGAATCACATAGATCAACTTAGATTCAAACCTAGGATACATATGAGGTTCAATCAAGTGGTGGCTCCATGCTTTGGTCCAAAATAATCCATTTCTTCTCTCCCTTTTGATGTTATTCTTCTCTATTGGATGTTGAATTATACTAGAGTGTTAAATGGAGAGAGAGAGAGAGAGAGAGAGAGAGAGAGAGAGAGAGAGAGAGAGAGAAGGGTGAGGATGATACTGTTCCTCTACTAATGAATGCCTTTGGCTCTCCAGAAACAAACAGTTCTTCAGAAGCCACAGCACATCTTTTGTGAAAGTTTGACATCTCATTCAGACCATTGAATGCTTCTATTATCATATTCAAGTTATCAAAAAAGAAGGGTACAATGCACATCATATTTGTCAATGTAGGTCTGAGAACACTCAATTTATGAGATCTTGTTCCTTTGAATCAGATCCTGAGATATTATTCCATGACTCAGGATCTATTCACCCAAACATAAACAAAAGAGCAGCCTAGTCTCAGTGCCAGGGCTGGCCCTTCAGTATTTTGACTTTGCTGCAGCTTAATTTTTCCTAATACGGAAAAAGAACAACCCAAGCTTTGGAATGGTACCTGATTCCCTTTCTTCCCCATGAAGATTGTCCATGCTCCAACCTTGAACCAGATGCTTCACATGTCTACCTTCACATACTTCTTGAAACGTGTAATAAGATATGATGGATACAGACAGCCATTGCATAAGGCTGCAGAATGCTGTCTGTGTTCTCCATGATTTTGCCCATTCCATGTTCATTAGGTATGCTAAAAGGATGAAGCAACGAGAAAGTGTGTGACTGCAATTCTACTGCTTGTCATTCTGAAACAATTGGCCACTCATCCTAATGCCTGATGGTCAGTGAATCTCTGTGTTGGGTCCAGCCCATATGTGGGCTTGGACAAATTGGGCCTATTGAGCCCAAATCACTAATTAAGGTGAAGTAAGGCAAATTAGGGCATGCAGAAAAGATGGAGAGCAGCGTGCAGCGTGCAGTGTACGTGCACAGTGAACAGCGACGACGAGGAGAGAGAAATAGAGAGAGAAAGTAAGGTTTCTGAGTTTTCTGCTTGACGATCGGTGGCCAAACGTTGTCAGTTTCGGCCCAAATTTTATGTGGAGAATCCTTGCAGCAAACTCTACAATCCTAACGGTGTTGATCTACGGTTTACCCTCTCTAAGGTACTTTTCTGTGATATCCACTCTGTGAGACCTAGAATTCTCTTCGGAGGAGATTCACCTATGTGATGAAGATATGGTATTCTTGAGCCAAGATCTATGTTCTTGATGTTATTA